AGGGTGAGAAGAAAAAATTCATAACGAAAATGAAGAAACAAAGATTATAGAACTTTGAAATCAATTTATCAAAGATATTCAAAGAGCCAAAGCTGAAGAAGAGCAGCAACTAAAAAACCGACAAAACGAGACAATTGAAGAAATTAATACCTATTGAATAAGCCAAGCGGGAGCCGATGACGCTAAATTAAATGGATTACTAACTAAACGGGAAGTATTAAATGGCGATTGGCAAGAAATTTTGCGTGCCAAAACCACCAAAGATGAGATTAATTATGAAAAAAGCGGCTTAAAAAGCCTAATTGATAAGGCTAAAGAAGAAACAGACAAAACAATCCGGGCAAGACATCAAGCGGTAAAAGCAGTTAAAAATACGTGAAACGCTAATCAAAAAAATAACCAAATTAACGGAAAGAATCAGGAGCAATTACTTGGAAACTGGGAAAATATTCTGTTTAGCATGAAAACCGAAGCCGAGATTAAGGCTGAACAAAGTCAATTGCTTAGGAAAATTACCGACGCTAAAAAAGAAGAATTAACCCAACAACAAAACGACGCAATTACTAGTATTAAAAAATATTGAAATGAAAAAGTCGCGGCCGAGAATAAATTCAGTAACAAAATTGATAGAAAAAGTAGAGAAGAAATACTTAACATTAACTTAACTCCACCAAGTAATTGAGAAAAAGATATCCAAAATCAAACTGATTCAGATAGCGTCGCTGTTAAGTTAGCCTATTATCAAGGCTTAATTAATGACGCCAAAGCCGAAGAAAACAAAAAAGCCGCTTGACATAAAATCGCTATTAGATTAGTTGATATCCATTGAGAAGAAAACCAGGAGGACGGATTAATTGATGATAAAACTCAGGCACAAGTTCTCTCTCCTAATTGGCAAGATAGTATTAGAGATAAAGATATCCAAGAGGAAATTAACAAGAGAGTAGATGAACTAAAATCCTCAATTGACTATTGAGTAGAAAAAGAATCGTCTCGACAAAATACTTCCGGAACAAGGAAAAAGACCAAGGAAGAAAATAAATTGAATAAGGATTTACAAAAACTTCGAGGGAGAGATAGGACATTTGCTTCACGAAGTTTAACTTCTTTATCAATAGGAAGTCTCGAAGAAGATATTGAAAAATGATTTGATGAATTGATAAAATTTCTTTCTAAGGATAATTACCAGTTTTTAAAAGAAATCTGCGGAGAAATCACTAGTGATAAGAGAAATAAGATATTTAGAATACTTTCTGAACTAAAAGGAAAAAAGAGGTTAATGAAAGGAGATGAAATAGAAAAAAACCTCCAAGAAGTAATTAAATTTATTGATGTTGAAGAAACCAAGGAGTTTTTAAATAAGGCTTCGGAACTTGTTGGATTGCAACCAAGAGAACAATGATTTACAGAATTAAACAAAAAAAACAGTTCCAAAGAAGTAATTGATTTTCGCAATTCAACATTTAAAAGCCTTATAAAAGAAGGAATAGACAATGAACTTACTCGTGAAAACCTACCAGTTCCTTATAATGACTTAACTGGTAATCCGAAAGAAGATATTCCTCAAATAACTAGTAAACAAGATAAATTAAATGCCCTAGAAGCAGTGCTAAAAGAAATTAAAGAAAAGCGACAAGAAATTGCTGCCAAAAATGTCCTCCAAGAGTCTATTGACAAATTAATTCCTTATGGAAATCATGGTGAACTAAAAGACAAACTAAAAAAATTACAACAATTAATTCCTCAAAATAATGATATTTCAAATCGAACAGCCAAAGCGAAGAATTCTGACGGTAATGATATTGAACTTAGTGAAGCCCAGATCAAGGCTTATCAAAACAATAAAAATGCTGCTGACAATAAAGAATTAGAATTAGTTTATGCTCTTGATTTACTTAGAAATGCCGAGGAGAAGATTCAAAATAAGTTTCAAATGCTCGATAATGCTATTGTTGGTATTAATCAAAAAGAGATTACTGATGCCGCTCAAGAATTAGAAAGGCTTCGTAGGTTAGGAACAGTTGAGGAAAAAGCAGTTTTGGATCAAGCCGAATCTCGAGCTGAAAATATTGATTGAAAAGACAGAGCTCAAACTCGAATTGATGAATTGAAAACGGAAAGAGATAAATTAAACAAAATAAATACCGTTATCAGTAACGGAACAGAGTCAGTTCTTTTTGAAGAAGGAGGCGTTTTAGATACCCAAATTCGAGGTTTACATGGTTATTTCAG